ACATTGCTCAATCTGATTGTTTGGCTTGTGGAATACTTCACATTCCTCCTTCTCCAAGCCCTCCTTGCACTCTTCAACCTTTCCTTTGCACTCTTCAGGGTTCAGTTCATTTTCCTTGCACTGTTCCTTGATTGGTTTGCACTGTTCCTTGATCTGATGGTGAACCTCTCTGCATTCTGCAAGGAGAGCTTGACATGCTTCTTCGCTCATGCCAGTACTCTTACACTGCTCAATCTGATTGTTCTCCTTTGAGGGGAATAAGACCTTGCATTCCTCCATTTCCAAGCCCCTCTTGCAATCTTCTACCTTTTCTTTGCACTCCTCAGTGCTCAGCTCATCCACCTTGCATTGTTCCTTGATGGAACCACACTGTGCTTCGATTTGATTATGAACCTCTTTGCAAGTATCAACGAGAGYTTGRCACTCTTCTTCGCTCATGCCAGTGCTGATGCAGTGCTTCATGTCGGGTTTCGGCTTCGGCTTGTCGGGTTTGTCCGGCTTATCGGGCTTGTCCGGTTTGTCGGGTCTGTCCGGCTTATCGGGATTGTTCGGCTTGTCGGGTTTGTCCGGCTTATCGGGCTTGTCCGGTTTGTCGGGATTGTTCGGCTTATCGGGATTGTTCGGCTTGTCAGGTTTGTTAGGATTGTTCATCATCATCCTCATTGGCCTCATTGGCCTCATCCCACGTCACAACTCACGAGCGATCTGCATTCAGACAGATTCATGTGCGGCAGTATTTGTTCACGCAACAGAAAAGAAAAGATTGCATGAGAGCTGTGCACAGTATAAGGTACCGGCGACTTTGCAAGAGGACATTATGAGCGACTACGCAAAAAAACAACTCCAATTTGTGGTGGTCGAGAAAATATWACGTACGCCGAAGTTGGGATCAGCGCCACGCAGAGCGGCTTCTACCTGTTGATTCGATGTTTTTGAATTTGTTGCGAGAAAATCAGTAGCAATTGTGTGGGATTGCATGRAGTTGGGAGGCGAAAGGGTGAGCACAATGCAAGGAAAAGCCAAGCGACAAAAATCCACGACCTGTAGAGAAACAGGTCGTGCAATGGTATCACTCCGTCGTGTACATACCGAAACAGCAAGAAGTAATACGGCAGCACCAAATTTTAAGCAAGTCATCATATTCGTTTTGTGCTTAGAAAATAGTTTGATTTCAAGTCTTCGGGGAAAGAAATTATGATCCGATCAAATAATTGGAATATGCGATACGTGAGATTTTTCCGGTCAACGAAATCTCCTTGACGGCCGAAGTAAAATAGAAATCAGAGGAGAGCGGAAAGAACCCATGTCTATCCATGAGCAAGTCGAACAATAAGATGAAATCTCCTTGACGGCCGAAGTAAAATAGAAATCAGAGGAGAGCGGAAAGAACCCATGTCTATCCATGAGCAAGTCGAACAATAAGATACAAACCATGAGCAACTCAAACGGGATTAAATAGCGATCTGTACGTTAGAATTAGTGAAGGTTCGTTGGTCCGACGAGAGCGGAAAGAACCCATGTCTATCCATGAGCAAGTCGAACAATACGATACAAACCATGAGCAACTCAAACGGGATAAAATAGCGATCTGTACGTTAGAATTAGTGAAGGTTCGTTGGTCCGACATTTGTATATCGAAGGCTGAGATAGCGATCATGAAAACAGCATCTTCTTTTGTTCCCTGTTCTTCTTTTCGTGCATTGACTTCGAATAGTTCATTTTCTATAAGTCATTTTTTGTATTTGAMGTATAGCCCTGATTATTTATTGGCATTTTCATTTCAAGACTCGATCACCCTTTACTACAGTGCTAATAATTAAAGCCTAATAATATTATTATTATTTCTTTTTCACGATTACAGTAAGAATTTTCTTGAACTTTCACGACTAGTAATCTGAATATGTATTTAGAAATACTATTGACAACACAACCCCAAATTTCCC